GTATTTCTGTTCGTGAAAACAATTGCCTCAGTTTTTTGGAGAGCTAGTTCCAGGTTGTTTTCGGACATCCATCTCACGACGTCCTGTAACACCGTTTCCAGTCTCTCTTCCAATAGAAAAGGCACTTGGGCCGTGCACACTATGGCGACGTCGTCCGCAAACGCTAGCAGTTCGGTGTCTTCCGGTAAGGCTATTTTAAGTAGGTCGTCATACATGAGGTTTCATAAATCTGGACCTAATACCGAGCCCTGCGGGACGCCGCAGCACACCTCGATAACGTTAGACTTGCCGTCGGTTCCGTCGAAGACGATTCGCCGATTTGTCAGGTACTGGCCCAAGATGTCTCGAAGATACTTCGGGGTCGCTGTCTTCACTAGAGCCCCGAGAATGGACTCCCAGCAGGCACTGTTAAAAGCATTTTTGACGTCCAGGGCGAGCATGCCAACATACTTGTTGGTCGCACTGGTACGTCCTTTAGCATTCTTTATTATGAATGAATATTATGACTGTTGATCTTCCCCGCCTAAAACCGTATTGGTTTTCTGAGAGGTTTCYCGACTTCATGAAGTGCTCCCGTAGCCTAAAAGTTATCAGCTTCTCGAACAGCTTGCTGACGGTGTCCAACATGCACAGCGGTCAGTACGCTGGCGGACTATCGAGTAGTTTGCCCGGTTTGTGCAGCAACACTAGTCTCGCTAATTTCCAATCCGCCAGAAAGCAGGCTTGCCCGATGCAGCTATTGAAAATTGTTGCAAAGAACCCCGGATGCGTCTTGACAGCCATCTTCAGTACCTCACTTGGTATGCCATCCGGCCCCGGAGCCTTGCCGTTTGGTAATCCGCGGGCTGCTGATAGCAGTTCGTTTACCGTGAACTTTGTTTGTTCCAATTTATCCGCACCAATCGTGCTTGTTGTTCTCTCGGTAATCGGTCTGCGCGGGAAGAGGGTGCCTACGATAGYGTCAAGTCGGCCAGGGATTTCCAGTCCGGGGATGGGCTTCCTGCGCACTAACTTGTTAATCACAATCCTGTATGGCTTCCCCCACGGATCCCCGTCTACCTGAGCGCACAGATCCAGTGTTTGTCTTTCGACTCTGCGATTTTGGCGGCCAGGATCTTCCTCTGCTGCTTAAAGTRGTCTCTTTCTGAAGCACTACCTGCCTCGTCTGCACTTTTCCTCTTCCTAGTGTATGCCCTTCTCGCYTTGAGACATGACTTCCGTTGCTCGGCTATGTCCGCGCTCCACCAATAAACTGGGCGTCTCTTTGTGCCACCGCTGGCGCGGGGCATGCACGCGTCGCATGCTTCCGTGAGCCAGGATGTCGCTTGGATACATGCACTCGCAGCGTCATTCGAGGTCGGTGGTGGTCCTAGTCGGAGCTTCTCGTTAAGCTTAACGTAGTCCAACTTTCTGTAGGCCCAGCTTTTTTGGAACTTTGGTTTCTGCTAGCTTCGGAGGGCGTTGATGTTGAAAACTATATATTTGTGGAGGCTGAGGGCTTCTTCATCTAGAATCGTCCATTCGGTTACGTTTCTCACTGACGCTTGGCTTGCCTAACCTAACCTCAGGTCTGAAAAATGTTCTGCACGCCCACCACTGCTATCTAGTATATAATAATAGTATCTAGTTTCTTTAAAAATATTACAGTATCTTGTGTTTTGTATTTAGATACTTTGTTTGAAGTATTTTGCCCAGCTCTGAATATATTTTTTATAAGTTAATTAATATTCATTAATTTAATAAATGTAATAGATGAAATCTTTTAAATTTATTCACAGGAAACGTGTTTGTGTTAATACTTTCTGACTTGGTTGAAGAAGCGAAGGAAAAAAATGATTCTCCTGATCAAGTAGTTAATGAATCAGAAGCTAGTAGTAATCAGCAAGAATTACAATTTAGCCCTCACATGGAATACATATCACGACATGTTTATCATAGTTTACCGAAAGAAAATGATCCAAAAATAGAAAACAGGGTTGGTTAAAAGTAACACCTTTTTGATTATTACTTATTRTTATTAAAACAAATCTTCTTGGTAAATTATCATAGTCATACAGAAAATATAAATTTAGTTTGTAAAAATTAATTATTTACTAAACAAAATATATTGTCTATAAATATTCAGTAAAATTATTCTTATTAAAAAATTAAAAAGAAATTGCTCCATGAATAGGATAATAATTTATATATCATATATTATTATAAATACTAAGAACTAATTGATTGCCAAACCAAAAATATTTAATACATGAAATGTGTTATGTTTTTCTAAATAGCCTGATATTATTAGAAGTTTTTAATTCAGTGCTACTGCAACACAGCATATAATATAGTATTATCTGTATAATATAGTGTTACAATTTAATAATATTTATTCTCATTTTAGGTTGGTTTTCTTTGGGCTTGGAATCATATGGTAAGTCGTAGATGGAAGTCTTCAAATCCAGCAACTGGTGATGAACAGTTTCAAAATAAACTATTAGAAGATTTTAGATACTTTTGTAGCAATAAAGATGAACGATTATCAAWTTTTTTGAAATCTTGTAAAGAAGAACATAATGCATTTAAACACCAAGAATAAATTAAATATTGCATGTTTAATGTATTTGATTTTATGATGGCTTACCCAARTGATAGATTTTAAGTTCCACTACAAATTAGTATTTTTTTTTATTGTATGCTTAGTAATAAATTATATTTATTAAACAAAATATATTTATTATATCAATAGTTTATTGAATTAATTGTAAACTACTGAACACAATAGAATATCTATGTAATGTAGTAAGTTCATATTGAGTAGATTATTTCTTTAAGTATGAGGTTTTCCATTCATACATATATTTTAGTACTAATTTTATTAGAGGGAATTATGGAAACTTATTATTTATTTTTCCAAATAGACTATTATAGCTTAAAGGGGTCGGTACCGGTAATTTATTTAGGAGTACAATTTAGGCAATTCAATTCACATATTGTATCGGCGGCGCTTGGATTGTGCATGTGTGTGAGTGAGCTAATATTTCGCACTCATCGCGCGGTTATCGGAATTTCATAATGTGTATGTGTGTTGAAGATTACGACTATCGACGCGCTGCCGTGTTGACCGGTTTCCCGTACGTGTGCACAAAGTCGTGATACTCGTAGACTTTGGTCCTTACGGCCGGTCAGCGGCGATTAAATCTGTGGTCTTTTGTGTCGCCAATACTATGTGGCGTACATCGTGCTGTCACCGCAGTCAGTTATACTCCGGACCTGCACGGCTGGTGTACGGGTCTGTCGTTTTGTGCCGTGGGTTTGTGCGTACGTGCTTTGAAAGTTCGTTCTGTCTTATTGTTGTTATTAACTTAACCATTGACGTTCGCCACTGTTGCTGTTCGACGTCGCTGTC